AAGCGCTTTCCAATGGAAGTAAGTATCACCACCATTTTACATATGGGGAAACCGAGGCATAGAGCAGGGAAGTGACTTACCCAACATCACCCAGAAGTTTATTGGCAGAGGTGGGAATAGAATCCCAGGTCTGCTCAATCCCAATGCAGTGCTCTATCCACTAGGCTAAACTGCCTCATTAAATGGTCAAGATTTTATTTTTTAACTCTAACATTCCTTGGTATACATATGTAGCAGAGGAACATTAATCAAGATTGAGGAACCAAGTTTTTTTTATTTTACTTCTCTGTTTACAAAAAACAAAAACAACAGCAAAAAAAAAAAAAACTTACTTGGCCAATGTAGAGCTTAGGAGCTCCACAGTGTCTTCTCTCCCGCCCTTCCAAAATGCAATCTGGGCATGACTGCAAGTCCCTGTTGCCCCAAGCTCACACTGTCCAGCAAAGCTCATGAGTTCCACAGGATCTCTGGCTCCCTATGGCTTTCATTTTCTGGCTTTAGAGCTCTGCCAAATACCTGTGTTTATGGCTCCCCTGCTTTAGCTCCTACATTGCATATGGCAACGTATCTTCAGCATTTCCATGACCTCTCCGCTTCTCCTGCACAGACTTTATAAAGCATCTGTTGGGCCACGCAGACTTCACATTGGTATACAGTATATGCTTTAATTAATGCTTCAAGGTCAATATTGATAAATAATTTCCAACATTTAAATTCAATTACCCTGTGCTTTACATGTTAGTGGTATGTGACTATGTGTAAAGATTTAAGATTTGCAATCAAGCTGTTTTTAACCAGAGGGACGACCTCCTCCCCAAAAGTGGACTCAGAGTAAAATGTCAAGTTTTTAATCATTCATAACTTAACAATGGTAGGACTAATAGACTTCCAAGGTTCTGAACAAATGGTCTAGTAATCACAAAATTACTTTCCCTGTGCAATGTTAGAAGTCAACAACTTTGTACCTGTGGTACAATGGAACTTTCTATAGGAAATGTAAAGCTCATCTGTGCAGGAGACGGTGCTTCCTCAGGGGCTGGCCCCAGACTGTGGAATGAACTCCCACAAGAACTAAGGACCATCACAAACCTCACACCCTTCCACACCAAGTGTGGGGTACATGTCTTCAGTGTTGCCTTCTCAAGCATAAACATATAGTAACGTGTGTGTGTGTGTATTATAAAAAAATTCCAAAACACTCCACTGTGCACCCACTCCTCCACTGAGGGAAAGGATCAGAGAACAAACACATGACAGAAGTTGTCATGATGCTTAATGCACTACTGGAAAGCGTTCGGATAAGATGGTGAGCATGGTATAAGAACCCATATAGAATTGAATAAATGGACATGATGACAGGGCTTATGTTGGAAATCAGGGCTCCATTATAACTACTGATCTGCTGCTACAAAGTGCCTCCATATTGACAGTCATTTTTAATCATCTGTAGCTCAAAGAAGGGTAACCAATTTTCCTTCACACTTTGAAGAAAAAAAATAGTGTACCATTCTGCAATGAAGCCATTGCTACAAATAAAGCCTACAATTAATAGACAAACCACGCAAGTCTGCAAAGACCAGAACGGAACCTTGGTTCGTAAGCACCAGAAAAACCAGTCTGCTACTCCTTAAGCTAAGAGAAAGCCTTTTACCTTGGTTACGTAGAGGAGGAACCTTAATATTTGCTCTAAGCTGCAACCATCCACCAGAGGGCAAAGTACTCATACACAATAATCATTACAACAAATATTAATAAGTTTGCTGAATTACAACTTTTCCCCTAAACATAGCCTTTGCACAATTTTGGAAGAAAATTTAGTCACACAGAAAGTTTGAAGGGTTAGAAGTCATTTTTGAGCTACAGAAACACTAAGAAACATGTCAAGATTTCAAGTCGGCATAATTTCTTTTAAAATAACTTATATCTTAAAGAGAAGGCACATCATGACCAATTTTATTCAGCCTTCACAGAAAAGTCCTCCTTATCTTTTAAAGTAAATGTGACAACTTTCAGCTCAAATCAATTCTAACAGCCAAAGTCACAGAGGGCTAAAATAAGGCATATAAGAGAAGAGTTTACAATCTGAATCTCTCTCATAATATAGTAACTGCTCAAGCAGCAAATGATAAAACTGCCATATGGCTCTAAAAAGAATCTCACCTCACACCTGGTCTGACAGTGCTTAGGGTGCTGTGTGAATGTGCAAGAGGTGAGGACAGGCAGATGTGGAAGCATGCTGCCCCCTAAAGAGCTACAGTTCTGGATGTATTCCCCTCTTTTGCCAAGGATGGTACTGCCCCCAATGCTAGTCAGTGTCCAAAAGCCATAATTGAGCCCTTAATAAACTGGAGCCTGATCCTGTATTCACATGAGTAGTCCTCACCGAAGTCAAATACTTGCATGATTAAGGAACTGCCTTTGGTGAGTAAAGGCTGGCTGGGAGGATCAGGCCTCAATTCTGTGAATTGGCTCAGCAGCACAGAAACCAAAGCAGTATAAAAGGGTTTGGGATTTGTTATGGACTTCAAAGATTGTTTTTATCAAATCTAGGTTTTTAAACAAAGTCTTCATTGTATTTTTCAAGTTTTCTGTTGGGTCACGTGATCCTTTTCCAATTCAAATATCTGTTAACTTTAAATGCTGGTAGAAAAATAAAATCCAGTATATTTAATGGATGATGATTGTCAGTGCTCATAAAAGTCAAGCATATCTGAGGCATAAAATGGACATAACCAGTCAGACAGGTGATATCCAATCTTCCAAACAATGGACCTCTAAATCCCAGCCCATACCATCTTACTATCCTTACCCATGATCAGTTTTGGACAGAGAGAGAAAGAGAGAGAGACTGACAAATGCTATATTATCTGATTGTTTAGTAACATGGACAAGTATCTGCTAACAGTTAGGATGAGATCAGACTGATTTACACTATTGACCCAAACAGGATTTTAATCCGCTGCACCACCTAGTCTCAAGATCCCTTTCAGCACTTTTTGGGCCCAGTCTTCCAAAGTGCCAAGGGAAGTCACAATGGGAGTTAAGGGTGCTCAACACATTGCAGAATAGTCTCAGGGTTCATTTGTTTTGCTAACTGGCAGCACTCATATTTTCCTTTTGTAGCCATTACACTTTCAAAGTATTTTTTTACTGTGCTCTCCGTAGCCCCAGCTCCCTTCCCCCAATTTTTTTTCTTATTGAAAGCTTAATGTACTAGCAAATAAGTGTATAAAATACGCCACGCATTGGACAAAGTGACTGAAGTTCTTTTTACATTTTGACAGCGTGTGTGCACACGTGCACTCTTTACCTGTGCTTTGTGTGCTTGCCCCTTTTGAATCCTAAAATAGCATGACACATTTGCAGACAACAATAAGAAGTGATTGGAGGGCTGAACCTTGCCATTCACAGTGTCTGGAAAAGGGGAAGTATTTTCTTGGATTTTATTTATGAGACTAATTGAACACCACAGCTAACAGTGGTTGGACATGGCTTTGATACATAGTCTGGTTGTAATGCTGCAAGGCAAACACGGGAAACCAGTGTGTGAGAAGTTTTAAGCGTTAACATAAACACAGAGTCAAATTAATGCATCTAGGAAATGGTTTGCCCCCATGCCCCCTCAATTTCATTGCTTTTACTCTCCTGTCTAGGGAGGAATCAAGAGCTTCTCTTTCAAGGATATTAAACAAAGGCCTCTTCTATCTATGTCTGGTTAACATTGAAATCCCATAGCACACACTTAAAATAAAAATAAAACAGTAGGGGGAACAGCCCTGACATTCTGGCCAATACTTTTCCTCCATAAAATTAGTTGATATCAAAAGGTCCTGTGTGCTACTCACAAGCACATAATGGCAGCTGTGTTTTCACTAAAGTCACAGTAAGAACCTGTATCTAATCCATTATTTCATAGGACATTGTGAAATACCATTTACTCCCCTATTATCAGCAGGGTTTGGTGCTGTACAAACAAATGGAGACACACCACCTGCCCTGCTGCAGCGTGTCTATCTAGACATTGCTACTGCGCTCATCACCACGGCATTGTTATTTATTACTTGTACTGCAGGAGCAACGAGGGACCCCCAACGATAGGAGGTACACAGAATAAAGGAACAGCCCTGCCGGAAAAGCTGACAAAACGCAGTGTCTTCACCAGCTGCTCAGCCAGGGGTTCTGGAACTGGGGGGTCGGGACCCCTCATGGGGTCACAAGGTTATTATATGGGGGGTTGCGAGCTGTCAGCCTCCATCCCAAACCCTGCTTTGCCTCCCCCATTTATAATGGTGTTAAATATATTTAAGTGTTTTTAATTTGGGGGGGGGGTGCACTCAGAGGCTTGCTGTGTGAAACGGGTCACCAGTACAGAAGTTTGAGAACCACTGCGCTAAGCCACGTTCCCCTCCACTCAGTCCCTGCTAGACAGCACCCGAAGCCGAGAATGCTGCATGGAGTCACCGACTCAAGAAGGGGCTCAGGGCACTGCGGACAAAGCAACTACTGACTACGCAGGAAGAAACTTCTGTCCTGCAGCTGAACATGAAAATCAGGTGGCCACAGTCACTCCCCCGCCCCCGGTCCCTCCTGCTCCAGTACATCGGTTCTCGGCCTCGGCGTGAGTCTAGACCTAGACACACACACACACACACACACACTGCAACAAGTTGTGCTGCCAGGCGGGGAGGGATTCCCACGTTCAGAGCAGCCGCCGCGCAAACGAAGCCGGGCTGCGCTGAGTGGCCCCGTCCGCGCACACGCCCCCAGGGGAGCCTTCCTCAGTCCCGTCCCTCATGCACAGCAAGCCCGGCCTCTGGAGGGGCGAGCCCCGGGGCAAGCGGGACCCTGCTCGCCGGGGGGAAAGGATGGAAAACAGCTTTCGACAGCAAGCCGGGCGCCCCCCGTGCGCTGCCCTGTCAGGAGCAGCCCCCCCCGACAGCCAGCCAGCCAGCCACCCCCCACCCACGCAGCCTCACAACCGCGCGTGCTCAATACTTCACCGTCTGTCACAGTCACGTCTGCATCCTCCTCGCCCGGCTGCACCGCCAGCTGGAGCGCGCCCTGGTTGGGGCTGGCAAGCTGCAGCCCCCCCCGCAGCTGCTCCTCGCTCACCAGCAGCAGCCTCACGCTGTACTGCAGGGGCTGGGGCTGCTGAGGGGCGGCCATGATCCCTGCCGCCGCCCAGCCGCGGAGCTCAGGCGGCTGCGGCTGCTCCTGCTGCTTCCCCGGCCCAGCGCAGCGCGCAGGGGAGCCGAGGGAAAGGGAGAGGCGGCGGGCAGGTTTCACTGATAAACGAGTCCCACATTTGAGACACCTCTCGGCTCTTTCTGGCATTGGCAACGCAGCATTCTCCCCTCCCTCTACAAAGCCGGCTCCGCCGCTAGCCGTTCCCCCGCCGCTTGGGGTGAGCCGTGTTCGGCGACATCTCGGCGCTTGCAGCGAAACAGTGACATCTCCCGGCCAGCGGCGTGGCTACACCCGCGGACTGGAGGGCGCTCCGGGCAGCCCTGCAAAATGCCTGGCTCACGTGAGCACCCCCCTCGCCGGAGGGGCACTGCGAGGCCTGGCTCAATGCACCCCCCCCCTCCGAGGCAGGGCTGTGCGGTGAAACGTTTAAACCCCCTTTTCGCCCTCTATAGGGCCCTCGCTCCGACGGCAGCAGTTTGCCCAGAAGCTGAGCGAGGGGAGGCACTCAGAGCTGGGTGTCAATCAAGGTCACAGTTCACATTCTAAATGGGGGAATTTGAAAATGGCAAAACATCTGGGAGTAAGGTTCCCTGACCCCAGCTTTTCACATTTTGGGGAGATAAAAGAGCAGTGGGGTAGGCTGACCAGACAGCAAGTGTGAAAAATCAGGAGGGGGGTAATAGGAGCCTATATAAGAAAAAGCCCCAAATATTGGGACTGTCCCTATGAAATCAGGACATCTGGTCACCCTAAGTGGGGGTGGAATTGGTTTAAAGCAGCAGTGTCCATACTAGTCCCTGTTTTTTAAATTGTATTCTGGACTTCATTTTTGTGCTTTTCAGAATGGTTGCGAAGCTAGCCAAGACACTCAAAAATTCTCTCTCCTGGCAGTGTAAAAACTGGGCCTTCAGCATGTAGCTTGTTGGCCCTGTGTCCGCTGAGAAGTAGGAAAGAAGAAGAAAATAACCTTATCTGGAATGTAGTAAAACATTTGATACCCACCGAGGTCCCAATCCTGTCAGCTCTTAGGGTTGGGATCCATAAAGGGATTTAGAGTGCATCTACACTGCAAAAAGAGACCTGTGGCAGCCAGTCTCAGAGCCTGGGTCAGCTGACTTGGGCTAGCAATTTAGACAGTAGGGCTTGGGCTGGAGCCCAGGCTCTGAGACCCACTCCCACTTGCTGGGTTTCATAAGCCCTAGGTTCCAGCCCAGCCCAAATAGATCTCCATTGCTATTTTTAGCTCTGTAGTGTGAGCTGGAGTATGTTGATCCAGTCTATGAGACTTGGTGCTGCAGGTCTTTTTTGCAGTATAGGCATATCCTCAAGCGCTGCAATCCTGAGCAAAGAAATGTCTAGAAAATCACATGTGCAACACTGCTGTCTATGTGGGTGTCCTAACCGATGATCCAGAGTCATTCTCTCTCTCTCTCTCTCTCTCTGCCCCAATGACTATGTAAGTATTTAGCCACAGTGGAACAGTCATTGGGCTACAGAGTGAGAATGACTCTCTAATCCAGTAGTTAGGGCAGGAGATAGGAGACACTGAGTCCAGGCCCCCTGCTCCAAACACTATTTCATTATTGATCCACAGTAGAACAGTTTCAATACGAGATGCTGAGGGAGCCCCACATCAGAATATCCCATAAAACTGGGGTTAGATCACCTCCCAGTGTCTAAAACATAGGCACCTAGTGAGTTTAGGTGCCTACAGGGTTAGGCAGCAGCCAAGTGGGAGTTTCATAGATTGCATGGGGACTTAGGCACCAAAATTGCTTCATGGGTCAGACATGAGTATGGTTATGCACCCAAGCCACCCCATTCACTTCAGTGGGCCTACTTAAATGTGAGTTAATAATATGTGAAAGTTAACAGTATGCCTAATTTGCAGCACTGGGGCCTAAAATCATACACTCAAAACTAATTTTTAAAAACATTAATAATTATTTTATCATTCAGGTAATTCTCAAGTGTTCATATCCAAGCTTATTTTAAATGATTTTGAGAGAGTGATTTAGTAAGATAAAAATGTATCAAATTATTTACTAAAATCCAAATAATTCAGTCATTTTCTTCCCTGGTGTTTCTCCTTTATCCTCCTTGTTTTCAGAGAACTAATCAATGTAGCCAGAGTGGTGACCAGGAGATGTCACTATTTTGCTGTAAGAGCAAAGTTTTCATTGAGCACTTTTCAGTCTTGGCAAGCGAAAAGTGTAAGGACATTATTAGTGAAACATTTTTGCTGTAAAAGTTAAGTGCAGGGATTGCATCATAGGACAAAAATAATTTATGATTTTATTATTGAAGGTAAACTATAAACTTTAAAAAGTAAATTAACAGTTTAAAATAGAATTGTTTTCTGTTTTTAACTCCTCCTTCCCTGTTAACCACAGCAACTACTGAATTAAAAGCAAACAAGATGGCTCTGTGGAGATTAACTGTTAAAATGGTTAATTTAAGCAATGAGGATGGTATGTATTTTCACTGAAACTTGAATACGTATGAGCAATTATATTAGTTAGCATAAAAAGGACAAGGCAATCAATCCTCCTTTTCAGGACATAAGATGAATATCACATCAAATCAGCAAGAAAATCCCCCCTTTTCCCCTATGGTACTACAGTATACTATTGTAGGGTTTCCAGGATCTATTGTATTTTTCTTCTTCCTGGTTTACTGACTTTTGCAGGTATCACAATTCCTATGCTTCTAAATGTTAATTCTTTCTACAATGCTAATTAAATGAACATACTACATGGACAATCAGGTTGCTAATTAATATAGGCAAGGGTAGCTCATGTTGCAAAAGATGGATGTTCTGGTAACAGCTGCATTCATAGTGGCAACAACTTAGGTTTAAGGGAATGGAACATACTGGGTAAATTCCCCCTGTTGTGCAGAAGCCAGCATGAGGCCTATGCACAACGCAAGTTCCACTTAAGCATATTTTCTCTTGATATAGTTCCCAGATGTCTTTGCTTTTATAGTTCTTTACTCTGAGGTTGCTACTAAAATTTCAAGGTGAATATCTCAGACCTGGAGGGACTTTTTTCATGGCATTACCTCCAACTGGTAGGGAATTACTCTGCAAACAGTTGCCCATTGCAGAATCCATTTTAGGGGCTTCAGACCTGAGCTTAATTTAATCATCAGGAAATTTATGTAATTTGCCAAAATTTAGGGCTGCATAGATTACGGTATTTAATTTTTGGAGTGCTGGGTAGAGAGATAAAACATCATCAGGCCTATTCTGCTCACAGTTAATAAGAAACACTACAGGACCGCCTGAAGGAGAAGGTGGGATAAAACTTTAAAACCGTGGTAACTTTCCTGCATAGAATCAGCAGGTCCTCCAAGGAAAAATAGCAGGGCTGATCTGGGACTTCAACTGTGGAGACAGTTGTTATCCAAGAAATCTGAATCCTTCAAATCCATTTTATTGGCGGTTACCGGAGAGAGAGAGAGAGTTAACAGACAACTCAGAGTCTAATGCTTTAATGCCCTTCTAGACTAGGTCCTTCAAGTGAGGCCCATACATCTAAGGGAACAGTATTACTGGGAATTTCAGCAACAGTAGGTAATTTGACCTTGACTGGTAGGACACTGGAAGATTTGACTAACCCTTTTCCCCTTTACTACAATTGGAGGTAGGGCTGTAGTCTCTACAAATGCTTTTGCTAACAGGTCTGGGAGAAAGGAAGAAAGAAGGACAATAGAGAAACCCAGTAGTAACTGTCCTTATTAATAGCTTTTTCCAGCTGGTCAACTGATTGTAAACCCACTGAAGATTGTCCTTCACCAGAAGATTAAGAGGCTGGTGGTTTTTTTACTCTTTCAGAGACCACCACAGATGGCAAAGTTCTGGAAAGTCAGGCTACAAAATCTGGAGAGCCTGAATTAAATTGCCTGGTCATAAGAGTTACCTTGATTTATTTTTCTTTTGGCCTTTGCAGTTTTGTCAGATAGGTTGTCACCCAAGGGGGTTATTAGGAGAATTACTGGGAGAGTCTAAGAAGGAGAATGTTCCAGAATGAGGCACAATAGGACTGGGGCATTTGGAAAACAGATAAAGATGCTTGGATTAACCGTAAAAAAATTCAGCCATATCATAGGTAGTATGCCTGTCTGCCTTGAATGTGTGAAGGAAGTGAAAACTCATTGAGTTGTGGAGTAAACTTGCAAACCCAGAGAATATAATGATGCTCCTGCATATCATACATTCTGAAACCATTTCACTGAGCCATACCTGTTTATTATTTCTATATTTGTCTGGAAGAGGAGAAATAATAACTAGCATCTGTGGGATGTGAAATCAATCTCATTCAAGGATAAACATTTGGGGGTTGGACTAGATGACCTCCTGAGGTCCCTTCCAACCCTGATATTCTATGATTCTATGATCTTCATCATGTGCATTTGGCTTCTTCGTCATGAATTGTGCAGTTATTACCTCCCTAGTGGGATGAATTCCATAACTAGTGATGCTCATAATTCTGTTTCCACTGATAGTAGGTAAAGAACTTCAGGGTCCCATGTCTCTTAAAGAGTTTATTTTACTAAATTGGTATTTGCCCCAAGTACAATGAAACTAGCTGCAGTAATTATGGGACCATGTTCATTTGATGAAGATGAACATATTTCTAAGGCTACTTTTGCCCTGACAAGTCCTCCCTATTACAAAATTGGTTCAAAGTATCAAACACTTTTTGTGGAGAACCAAGAAAGCTAGGACTAGCATTATCAAATACAAATGTCCACAGAAGTAGGGGGCATCATCTTTCTGAACTGGAAACTACAACTATGCAGCATCACTAAGTGTGATACAGGAATGGCTACACTTAAGTTCTAGCCGATAACAGGTACTACCATGGCAAATGGTTGAACAAGCTATCATTTCTCTTGTAAGACTGAATTCTTCAGGCTTCTGTGTAAAGCATTATCTTTTGACTACCACATCTGTTGTTGTACTGACTAAATCTGCAAACGAAAATCAAAACCCTAGGTTGGTCCAAGGATTATAACCCTAAATGAGTGCTTCCTCAGTAAGATTCTTATGTCCCTGAATCAACTGTGGCCACAACACAATACAGAAACAAAATAATTTTACATATTCTGCAATTAAGAGAGTTTATAACAAAGGCTAGATCTAGCTCTCTATTGTCAGTGCATATAAAATACACAGGGAAACACCCACAATATGAAAACCCTCTGACATTTTATTTACACATTTTACACAATCTTATAGAATACTATAGATG